GGTGTGCATAAAAATTTTTACAAGGTGGGGGAAGAGTTACAAAATATTGGCCCTGATGACAAACTATCTTTGATAGTTTCTCACAAGTAGCATTGATTGTATTTTTCAGTCTCAGTGATCATCATGAATTCCAGTGGCTGAATAAGCTGTAGTTTATATCCACATTGCATTGGGTCCTGTCCATATGTTCATCATGAAGTTCCTGACTCATCCCTGGAGGCCCATACAAGCTCACAGCTTCCTAAGGCTGCTTTTTCTTGACTATAACATTCCAGTAATGTGAAGCTTTTTCCCTAAGGCTTAACAATATTCAGTGGCCAGTAGTCACCTCCTTAAGAACCTCAGGTGTGTTGATGTATGAGTGCCCAGGGCCCGTGGAATTATCCTTTGAATTTTCTATAAGGACTGACCAGGCTCTACTACTTACTTGTGTTTGAAATAGGTCTTGCTATGTTGCCCAGGCTGCTTTTAAGTCCTAGTAGAGTAGCCAGCAGTTCAGGTGTCCATCCTACACTTCTGTCTTGAGTATTGTTTCAGTCCTTGTTTGTAGTTTGCAGTTCATTTTAGAAATTTTATTTTTTTCTATTTCTTTAGTGCCAAAGGTTTTTTTTTTCTTTCTGTGATCATGTCAAAAGTAGAATGTTGGCTGGGCGCAGTGGTGCACACCTGTAATTCCAGCCTTCAGGAAGGCAGAGACAGGCGAATCCCTGAGTTCAAGGCCAGCCTGGGCTACAGAGCGAGTTCCAGGGCATCCAGGGCTACACAGAGAAACTGTGGGGGAAAAAAAGTTTGTTTCCTGGATGTTGATATACACCTGTAATCACTACGTACTAGAAGCTGAACCAGGAATTAAAAAATTCAAGGCTAGCCTGGGTTACATGGTGAATTCCAGGCCTCTCTTAATATCGTAAGACCTGGCTGCCAAAGAAAAGGTGTGTCTGTCAATACAGGCTGTCACCCTGAAGCCCAGGATGCTCTCAAGATATGCAGTCCTCCTGCATTAGCTTCTTGGGTGCTAGGATTATAGTGATGGAATATCATATCCATTACTTCTAAAAAGATGTCTTTAGAAAATCCTCCAGATACTAAAGCCTGGGAATATTTCAGTGACGGCAAGTGCTTGCCTCCTTTTATTTATTACATTTATTTGTTTGTTTGTGTGTGTGTGTGTGTGTGTGCTCCATGTAATGTGTGTGGAGGTCTAAGAACAAGGAGTTGATGTTCTTCTACCATTTGGATCCTGGGGATGGAACTCAAAACTATCTAGCAAGTGCCTTTACCTAATGAGCCATTTTGCCACCCCAGGTTCCCAACAAGGTGTCACTGTGTAGCCCTGGCTGGCCTGGAACTCATAGAGATCGGTCTGCCTCTGCTTCTCATATTTTTGATTTAAAAAAAATTCTGTTAATAAATCATATTATCATTGGAGCAATCAGAATTGATTGTTCCTCAAAGGATTTTGTTTCCCGATATCTCAGTCTGCCATACTAGTGTAAAGATTTGGGTGTCTTCTGACCCATGTAAAAAGCCAGGAATGAGTCAGGCAGTGCTGTCATATGCTTTTAAGCCCAGCACTCAGGAGGCAGAGGCAGGTAGAGATCTGAATCTGAGGACAGCCAGGGCTACACAGAGAAACCCTGTATTGGGGAGGAAAAGAAGAAGCCAGTAATGGTGGCATACGTTTGTAATCCCAATGCTAGGGAGAAGGAAATACCTAGATACTTGGGGCTCCCCAGCCAATCTAGCCTAATTAGTGATCATATAAAAAGAATGTTTACTGAGACCTAGAATGCCCTAGGTCTGCCCTAGGTCTCAGTAAGAAACTCCATTCCAAAAAGCAAAGTAGATGGCTCCTGAACAATGACACCCAAGATTGGCCTCAGGCCTCCATGTATATATGTGTGTAACACACATAGAAATACATGCCAAAAAGAGGAGGTGGTTTTTCTTAGTGTGCACATAGGATGAAAGTACTCTGAAATTGATTTGGTAATTTTTAGACAGTCTTACAGGTAATATATAGCAGAGCCATGAGACTTTTTGTGTCAGTCTTACATTCACTCACAGCCCAGGCTGATCTCAAACTCTGCAGTCCTACTTCCTTGGCCTCCTGTGTGCCAGGATGATGCATGTAGACCAGCACACCTGGCTTTATTATTGCTGCTGCTGTTGTGTGTGTGAACATGATGAGAGGTAGCCACATACATGCCACCATGTACGTGTGCCAGTCAGAGGACAAGTTTGTAGAATCGTTTTTCTTCTTCTGTATGGACTATTTTTTTTTTCTTTGAAGTAATATCTATTCAACTCTTTGTAGTTAAGAGTGCATTCTGCTTTTGTAGAGGAGAGGACCTGTGTCAGGTGCTTGTGAGTTTCTGCTCCAGGGGGTCATAACACCTTTGAGCTCCTTAGGCACCAATATTCATGTGTGCATGCCCACATACAAACACACAAGTAAAAAATAATAAATAATAATGGTAAAGGGGAATGAGCCTGTAGCTCTGTGGTAGAGTACTGGTTTAACATGGCAGAAGCATGTCTCTAGTACTTGGAAGAACAAGTTTCATTCTGCCCCAGACCTGCCTCCTAGCCTTTCTATCCCATCTCTATAGGTCTAAGTTCCTCTATCAGGGCTGTTGTAGGTAGTTATTAATATTTACTATTGGTTTATCTTCTGGTAATGCTGCTGTTAATCCTCAGCAGCTGTATAACCAAATCACCACACAGAGACTGGGTTTTTAGTTAACCTAGAACACAGTGCTGGGCAATATTTACTCCCTCCTAAACCTCCAAGCCCTCATTTTCCTAACATTTATTTCCCACATTATACTTGCTTTTTGTGAAATCTTAGGTTTGGTTCATGCTCCAGGTCCTCCAAGATCTCTCCTCCAGCTCTGCTCTCCTAGCTCTCTCCCTAGCTCTTTCCTCCCACTCATCTCTTGCCTTCTAGCTCCTCCCCTCTTTCCTGTCCTCTGGCTCCTCCCTGCTCAACATTGTGTCTAGTTGCTTTATTTTGTCCTGTTTACACAAGAGTTGAGACAGGATGCTTAGAATGAGTATCACAATGCAATATCTGGATTGAAACCAGAGTTGGGGGTGGGGTGGGGAGAAATCAGTATTTAAATGAACAAGGGTAAGGTGTATACATTAAAAAAACAAACAAACACATTATACCAACATAGGGCCATTGCCTGTTTCTCATGTGTTCTGTAGCGTTGACTCAGATATATATATATATATATATATATATATATATATATATATATATATATATATATTAATAAGTGTTGTTGTTTTGTTATCTGACACATAGTCAGCAAACATTGGCCACATTGGCACTGCTGGATGTTTGCTGTCTAACCTCAACAAAGATAGGCAAGTTGTTTAAGGATAAGAAATGCCTTAGGTTGCTTAGGTAGTATCCTGCTGGAAAGTATAAAGTGAGTGTTTTTCATTGTCTTGCACACGCTGTTCTGTCTTGTTGTCTTTTGCCTGCCGAATCCATTAGAATGATTTATTAGACACTGTTTTTCAGATCTTCCTCATCCACCATTCTGTTTGCTTTTGTGGATTTTTTGGAGGGAGTTGTTTGGTTGGTTTTGGTTCTTTGAGACAGAACTTTGTGGAATCAAGGCTGCTGGCCTTGAACTCACTCTGTAGCTGAGGCGCTCCCTGATTTCCTGATCCTCCTTTCTTCCAATTTCCAAGTGCCAGATTATAAACACTTTGTTTGTGGTTTTCATTTTTCTTCAACATCTGTCATTCAGAAATGCCATTTTTCTTGTATGTTGTTTCCTTCCCTGCCCTTTCTGGTGCTGAGACTCAAACACTGGGACTTAGGCATGTTAGACAAGTCTTGTATCAGCAGGCTATATACACTTCTCCCCCTAGCTCCCCTAGATCAGTTTTGGTAGAACTCCTGTTATTGACAAAATTGAAAAATGCCACTAAGAGCCAGCTACATGGCTCAGTGAGTAAAGGTGTTTGCTGCCCAGTCTGATGGCCTAAATTCAATCCCTGGAACCCACTTGGTAGAAGTAACTGACTCCTCAGAATTGTCCTTTCCACACATATGCCCTCCATCCACATGAATACATATGTCCACACATTTTTTGGGTATGGGTGTTTAACCTGCATGTCTATTTGTGTACCACCTGCATGCCTGGTGCCTTTAGAGGTCAAAAGTAGATCATGTATCCTGTATCCTCTTGGAAGTTCAGTTACAAATGGTTGTGAGCTACCATGTGGGTGCTGGGAATTGAACCTTGGTCCTCTGGTAAAACAGCAAGTTTTGTTAATGGCTGAGCCATCTCTCCAGACCCAATGAGCCTTTTTTTTTTTTTTTTTTTTTTTTTTTGAGGTCTTTACAAAAAAAAATTATAATGGGCAGGAAAATTTGGGCAACAAAACAAAAAAAATCCAAATGTAATCAGTTCAACATTCAGTTGATTTCTAGCTTTATTTTGTTACAAATGGTGGTAGATTTTCTTTTTTTTTTTTAATTTGTTTAATATGTCAGTGGTAGCACACCTTTGAATATATTTTTTATGATATGAAATCGTGATTAGATTCACTTTGGGCCCGTAAGCATCGATGATGCCACCTTGAGCTGTTCCCTACCTTCTATGAGATAGTTACTGGGGAAAGCAGCACAGATGTCAACTTTTCTGGGGATGGATTGGGGGCACAGGGTCTCACTACTTACATAACTCAAACTAGCCTGCCTTTCAGTCTGAGTGCTGAGCTTATAGTTGTAAATCATCACACCAGGCTCAGCTCTGAGCTCCTGAAGGCCAGAGAACAAGTTCAGTGGGCAAAGGCACCTATCCCAAGACTGATCAGGATTTCAGCTTTTTGAAATTATATAAGTATAGTAAAAAATATATTCAGCGGTATGCTACCGCTGACATACTAAATTATCCATGCCACCAAATCTAGCCTTTTTTCATGCATTCTGGAGGTGAAACTCAGATCCTTACATTTGTGTTTTGTGGTGGTCTTTTAGTATGAAATGCTTCACGAGTTTGTGTTATCTTTGTACAGGGGTCATGCTAATCATGTCTGTATAATTCAAGTTTTTAATAAATATACTTTCAAAGCAAAATGATTTCATTTTTTGAGACAACATTTTAGTAAGCTCAGGCTGGTCTTAAATTTGAGATCCTCTTGTCTTGATCTCCTGTGTGCTGGGACTGTAAGTACCATATACTCAGCTACTTCCCACCTTCCCATCTCCCCCCAGACAGGGTTTCTCTGTGTAGTCTTGGCTGTCCTGGACTCACTTTGTAGACAAGGCTGGCCTTCAACTCAGAGATTCACCTGCCTCTGCCTCCTGAGCGCTGGAATTAAAGGTAGGTGCCACCACCACCCTACACGTCCCACCGATTTATTCAGCTTTACAGGCACATTTTCAAAGTCAGATGTGCATGCATGTCCATCCATTAGTAGCACTGGAGGATACGGCTGCTCTGTGCTCAGCTGCTTCATGAACTCTTATTAGCTGAGAAGTGTCCTGGGTATGTTGGTGGCATCTTGTGTCTTTGTACTACTTGATTTTAAGGGCCAAACACTGAAGAAGAAAAAAAAAGGTTAGTCTTAGTTTTTATATAAATAGTGTTTGTGATTTAATGTAAACTTGTCTTTTTCTTGTTTGCACAGTGATGCTAATTTTGTCTTCTTTATCCCTACAGGTTGGTGATATTGTAAAAGTCACAAGGATGAATATAAATGGCCAGTGGGAAGGCGAGGTGAACGGGCGCAAAGGGCTTTTCCCCTTCACACATGTTAAAATCTTTGACCCTCAAAATCCAGATGACAATGAATGATTGCTGTTACTGTCCCTGCTGCTGCCTGTTCTGCCTGTCATAGTCTCCTTTGAAGTGGGAAGCACTCTCTCACATGCAAGTTTCATCAAGCTGCTGGTGGCCTGCTTTCCATACATTGATGGTCTCCTGCACATTTGGAATGCCTCCAGCAGCTGCCTCTTGGCATTTGTATCATAGCCATGCTGTCAACGAGTAGCTGATTTTAGAGTTCTTCTGGATTATAAACTGGAAATACTGGTGGAAACACAAGTAGAAAGAATTTAACATAGAAGGGTCTTCCTTCTCATCACTGCCTTGTCTGTACTTGAGGCTGCCTCTGCTGTGCTTGACATAGAGAGCGTGAGCCTGCTGACATCTGCATGGAGAGGGTGAGCCTCCGCAAGGCCTTGCTGTCGGTGCTCCACAGAGCAGTGGCTTTGCCACCAACTTGGGTTTTTTTGGACAACAGAAGAAGTAAAGCTCCAGACCACTTTGTCCTGAACTTCTGAAATCTGGCTTGTTTTGGCTTTCGTTTGTTTAGTTTTGTTTTTGGAAGACTAATTAATTAAGAGTTGTGTGTTCTGAACAGATTTTTAAATAGTAGGTTGGATTTTTGTGATAGTCTAAGGAACAATACTTGTCCCTGAGCTTCCAAGCTGAAGCTGCTGTACGTAACTAAAAATATGAAAAGACACCCTGAAGTAGAGGCCTTTATTTTATGGTTGCCACAATACCTTGTCTACCATGTGGCAAACAGTGCACACAAGCAGCAGTCGTGGTGTGCCGTGCTGTGCTGTACTGTGTGCACCAGTGGAAGCACCAGTGTGAGGGTGTGATCTGTGAAGCCTGTTGCTGTCACTGTTGCCACTGACAGGAGCTGAAAGGTGGCGTTCTTGGTCAGTTCTGTCTAGCTTTTCAGTGAGTATACCCCTTAAGAACTAAAGTGAAGCTTATGGGATCTGGATTCACAAGTTAAGTTGGGTCACTATGTCTTACCACAAAGTCCACTCAGCCCTTCCTGGCCATACCCAGGCTGCCCAGGCACCTTGAAAGTGGTGTCTCTTCTGCTTCCACAGCCTAAGTAGAGCTAGACAGTGCTCCTGAGGGGGAAAAAAAAGACAGGCTCTGGAACCCTTAACCTATCTCTCATGATCCATTTGCATGCAAGCCAGATGCTACATGCGTGTGTCTGATCCCTTACCTACACATGGCAAAACCTGAGTTCTAGAACCTTTCTGTAGTGTGCTGTGATTCTGCTAGACCCTGATGAGGACAAGCCTCCACACAGAACAACTCAGCAGACCTAGAAATGTAGTAGTGGCTCAGTGAGGGGCTCTGGCATTTACAGGATATCTTCTGTAACTACGGCCCTGGCTCTGGAGGCTTCTTAGGCTTTGAGAACTAATGGAGTATATTCAGGTGACAAAACCAACAAAACCATTTGTCCACTATGTCACGCGCCTTTAATCCCAGCACTCAGAAAGGCAGAGGCAAATGGATCTCCAAGAGTTCAAGGTCTATGTAGTGTGTAACAGGATAGCCAGGCCTACATTGAGAGACCTTGTCTCAGAACCCACCCCCACCCCCACCCCCACCCCCAGAAAAGTATAAGGGTGTTTTGCCTGTGTATGTGTATGAATATCACATGGGTGAAGTGCTTAATGAGGCCAGAAGAGGGTGCTGGATTCTACGCAAGGGCAGCAAATGCTCATAACTGCTGAGCCATCTCTTGAAGCCCATTAGTTTCTCTTTAAATCAGTATTCCACCAGGCTGGTGAGTACTGTATTAAATGTTCATGTGACAAAATAATGGTCACTAGGAGTTGGTATGTGGGATGCCTCCCTGTGTGTGGCTTTCCAGAAAAAAGTGGTAGAGATGAACTCTTTTTTTTGTCTCTGAAAGCTGCCATTTCTAGACAGACCTGTTGAGTGGGCTTACTCAAGAGTTTACACCCCAGCGCTGCCTGGAACAGTGAATGCTTGCCTTCTGGCCAGTGACCTAGTTCAGCCCCAGGCCTTGATAGCTGCACTGCAATACGTGCTTTGTTCATGAAGGGCACAACCCCCAAGGAATCACACCCCAATCCTGGGGCTTCTATCTCACGCCTTATACATGCTGGATAAACCCTCTGTCAAAACCCTGAGCTATTTTTTTTTGTTGTTGTTGTTTTAAGATTGGGATCTCCACAAATTGTCCAAGCTGGCTTCAAAATTTCCATCCCAGCCTCACCTGAAATTACAAAGGTTTGAGTCACCACACCCAGCTCTTAAGGTCTTAAAACTACATTTAACTGATGGGCTTGGTGCCTTTTGATTATAGCAGCTTGCTCAGAACAAGCAGCCACTTTTGAGAACAGGGTTTCCCTTCTCCCATACCTGTTGACCACCAAGACTCCATGTGGAGTCCATGTCCATAAGCCTGGAATTTGATTTATAAAATCAATTAATTTGGCCCCTGTAAGTGTTTACAGCTTCCTCAGAGATCCAGAGCTCGAAGTAAAGACATTTCTCAGGATATTTGCCAAAAGTAGTACTTTCCTGACTTGGAAGCTCATCAGTTTCTAATCAGAAAAAGTTTCATGCTGATAGTGGCATCTCGCCAAAGTCCCACTCTTCTGAGAAGACAGTTGGCCTCAGAGGGGAGTATGAGAAGACACTTGGCCTCAGAGGGCAGAAGGGCTTTCCTCTTGCCGTCATCACCGTTGCATGGTGTGCTCTGCGGTGCTGTAGGAAGTCCTGAGATGACGAGCCCACTCACTATGGCTGTTTCTTCTGAGAAGCTGACAATTAGGTAGTCGATGGCATTGATGGCTAGATTAATCCTGTTTTCTGGGCAGGACACCCACCCCACCCCGGGGCAGAAGGCATCCTTGTTACTTCTGCCTGCTTTGATGCCACCTGCTGCAGGCTTAACAGGGTGCACTGCCTTCGGTTACCCAGACTCAGAACCCTCTGTGCTCACCGGAAGAGACTCTGTGCCCTCCCTTGGAGCTGCACGTTCCTGGCACTGTGCCAGCCGTCCTCTACAGCTGTTTACAGACAAGATGGGCCAAGACTGATGGCCACTGCTCTTGTAACCTTTGCTCAGAAGAATGATGAGGTTTTTTTTTTGTTTTTGTTTTTAAGGGATGATGTTTTGTTCCAGGTGTTTATAATTTAATCTTTTAATATTATGTTCATTAACCTCTTAAAATGAGTGAATTCTTGATTGTTTTAACACAGTACCTAAGACTAATGCTTTTTGTGGACTCCTCACCATGGGACCAGAGAACCATCTTCCTGGTAACTGCTGTGAGTGTGAACACTGAGCTGCTTGTGTGTTCTAAAGGAGCAGGACAGTTCTCTGAGACAGGAGGAACAGTGGCCTTGCTTCTAGACGGTCTTCACTGTGTGTTTTAAAATGACATAAAACTCTTTTGACATGTATAACTTAAAGATCATAAGCATCAGGCAATAATATTTTCTGTGTAAGCTTTTAAAATTATTTTTGGGGATCATAGCTTGTTTTATTTTGTGCTATAAAATTAACAGTATTAAATGACTTATATTCTTAGAATACATTGAGTGTCTTTTCTTAACAGATTAGTGCCTTTTTATTTTTGTATTCCATTTTACGTTACTGGTCCCAGCATCAAAACCCTTGTTTCCATGGCCTGTTTGTACATTGTCTCAATAAAACGTGCACCAGCCGGCAGTGGCAGCAGCCTCGGTGTTTCAGTGTTTCCTCAGTCAGCTCCACCAACCTTCCCAACAGTTACACTGTGCTGAAGCCCTCAGTACTCCTCATAAACCTACTCATGCTGTTCTTTTTTTCCCTCACCCAAAAATGACTGCTTCCTAACGTGGGAGCCTCCGAAAGAAAGTAGCTATTCTCTGGGTTCAGTGGGTGCTGTGCAAGAGCCTAGCACTTAGACTTGGCATTCTGAGCAGGAGGTGCACAGGTCTGCACACGGTGAACACTGCTGTTTTCCTCCCAGTGCCTGGATGTGAAGGCTCTGCTCTGCTAAATATTTGCTGAGCATGAACTAACCATGAGGAGCTCGCTCAGTGGTCAGGGAAAGCCAGTGGTCAGGGAAAGCAAGTGACCTGTCTGATGTCTGCCGCCATTCCTGTCTGTATATGAATCTCCTAGTAAGCTTTGAGGATCCTTGGGAAAGGAATGTGTGTTGTTGGCTTCCTTAAAAGCATCACAAACTGGTGGTGGTGGTGGTGCACACCTTTAGTCCTAGCATTCAGGAGGCAGGTGGATCTCTTGAGTTCAAGGTCAGCCTGGTCTACGGAGTGAGTTCCCGGACCGC